TAATTAACTAAGTTGTCTCTATCCTAGTTACAACCTAACTTAATTTCTAGTCTTCTAGTTAGGAATGACATTAATGGCAAGTATTGTAAGACAACTAGACAAGGAATTTTTTTGGAAAAGTTTAAAGAAAAGAATCAAAGGATCCTAGTTTTTATGGTCTTCTACACCAAATAGGCAACCAATTACAATTAGAATTAGGTGTCCTTTTTTACTTAGATTAGAAGGTTTCTTGAAATATACAAATTTCAGTCTTCTTTCTCTAATACATTTTGACTTTCTATTTTCTTGATAACTTCTATTCTAACTTGGTTCGCCCCCCCTACCAATTTCAGTCTTCTTTCTCTAATAGAATTAGGTGTCCTTTTTTACATCAAATTTCAGTCTTCTTTCTCCAATTTACCAATTTATTACCATGTTGAACTTAGAGCCGAAACCGACCTAAACCGACTCAAACCGACCAGGTTGGTTTTGCTTAACATAGGGTCGGTTTCGGTTTCAATTTCAGGTAACCCGACCAGGTCGGGTCGGTTGGAAAAATCTCAGTAAACCGACCCAACTCGACCCGTGAACAGCCCTAGCTGCGGATTCCAACTCAAGCCGCTCCCCTTCTGCAATCCATTCGACTTCGATGGGGTTGAAGACGATGATAGACCCTAGAAATTATCTATCAAAGGTCCATCAAGTTGCTTCACGTGATGACTTAACAAGTCATGTGCTGACTTACTATCTTTTCGGTGGGCCAAGTTAGTTGTGTTAGACCTGGCTCGAACCACCGGCTCGTTTGAGTTCAGACACTCCTTTGTCTTGCTCCCTTGTTGGCCCACCCCACCCCCTACACCAGTCCCTTTCATTAATATCTCCTTAAAAGAGAATCCTCCTGCCTTCCTTTCCCCACTTTTTGAACATGTTTCCCATTCTGGAATCCAAAACTTCCATAGCTTTGACTCTTTGTCTTCCCTAGCAATACTCATCTCCACCTGTTTTTTAAACGAGGGCCTTGTGGTTTCTCTATCACCACCATGTGTCACCTAGCCTGCCATGTCACCATATTCTTCAACCTACGATCTCCCACTCCATAGTGTCGCTTCCAATACCAATGCAACCCATACCTTGCTCCACATGCCTTCAGCTAACAGTTCGAACGATTATGGGACGACATCTGGCTCCACTCCTGCTATCAACCCAACAGCCTTTAGGTCTGTTTTCTTGTAGGAGATGAGAACTCCAGCCAACGCGATAGCGATTTTCTCCAGCAAGGATTTACACCACAGATTGAACGGCAGAACTACCAACTTCAACCGAAAGTCTCCATTGCTGAAGGTCTTTGAGTTACATGAGGTGCACCAATTCTCCACCACTATAATGCCCTCCTTGGTTTCAACTGTGGTGAAGTCTACCTCTTCCAATCCCACATCCAGCAGGCAGCACCGCCTTGTTCGCTTCGAATGACAAGAGGATAGTCGTTTATTTCAGCCCCAACTTCTTCGATACTTCTTCCAGCACTTGTTTCCAGCCCCTCACTATGTTCTTCGTAGAGAGCAGTAATCTTCTCCTCCAGTCTTTGCTTTCTCCTTCTATCATTACCTTAGGAACTGGGGTGGATAGGGATACCACCATAATTTCATTTTCCTCTGTGTCATTTTCTAATCCCATCTTCTCTAGTCTTTTTCTTCTCTCCTTCATCTCCTCCTTCGGCACCAACTTTTTCTCTATCGTTCTATCTTCTACTTGCTTCTGCTTCTCCAACTACCCCTGATACTCTGACATTCGAATCCCAGTTATAAGTTGATGCAACTCATTAACTACCCCCATCTACCCTCCTAGATTTCTACCTTCTGGTATTACAATCATTTGTTTTCTCCCCTTTTCAAATCTCTCTTCCAGGGTCACGAACCAGCCTCTCGAGTTCCTTCTTCTACTGGCTAGGTATTCTTTGCTAGAGGATTTGAAGTTGTCTCTCCACTCCAAGCGCCAGCGTACATTCGCTGCTCCATCGAGGAAGCTTTGGAACCAGAATATCGTCTCCCCTACCAGGAATACTGTCCCTTTTCTACTCTCCCTAATCTTTAATGCAATTTCCTTATGATGAAATGTCTGCTCCAACAACAGTTCTTTGGATTCCACCTTGATGAATCTCCTCCTTTTCCCTACCAGTGAGAAGTCTCCTCCAGCACGCTCCATCCTTCTCCTATTTCTTTCTAGATCTTCATATATGCTTAAAATTTCCTGGCCATTTTTTTAGTTTGATGTAAAGAATGGATTCCTCAATGAAGAATTGTAGGAGGTGTACATGGACCTTCCAACTGGGTTTTATGATGGTGTAGGTAGAGGAAAGGTATGCGGATTAAAGAAGTCCTTATATGGATTGAAGCAGTCAAGCAGTCATTCAGAACATGATTTGACAGGTTAAGGGGAGCATTGACTCGCTTTAGATACACACAAACTCAATTAGACCATATGCTCTTTGTGAAGAGAAGGGGATACCTTGTGTCAGTGCTAATAGTATATGTTGCTGACATTGTAGTTGCAGGGAAAGATCTGAACGAGATTGATGCCTTGAGAAAGTCCCTACAATAGGAGTTTGAGATCAAGGACATTGGAGAATTGAAATATTTTCTAGGTATTGAGGTGGCAAGGTCCAAGCATGGGATCTTCGTTGCCTAGAGAAAGTATGTGCTAGACTTATTACAGGAGATTAGAAAACTTTGAGTTAAACCAACTGATGCACCTATTGATCAAAACCACAAGATTAATGCCTCAGATGGTGAGCTAATAAAGGATGTAGGGAGGTATCATAGGTTAGTTTATTGATTGCGAGCAAGTACATGCGTGCTCCTCAAGTTCAACATTGGGCAGCCATTGATAGGATTCTTACCTACTTAAAGAATCATCCGGGTTGAGGAATATAGTTCATTAATCATGGGAATATGAAGCAAGAGGCCTACATAGATGCAGACTTGGTAGGATTATTGGATGAAAGGAGGTCTACATCAGGATTTTGCACCTTAGTTGGAGGTAATACAGATCTATGGCTCATGGTGTCTCAAAACTTCTTTGGAAGCAGTCCTTATTGGGTGAGCTTGGAATGACATAGAGGAACCTATGATGTTGTACTATGATAATCAAGCAGCAATCAAGAGTATGCCTTCCATATGTTTCATTTGACTTACAACTAGCTTATGTATTTACCAAGGGAGTTGCAAAAAACAAGCTTGAACATGATCTACACAAGTTGGAAATGTGTGACATTTATTCCCAAATTGGGGAGTGTCGAGGATTTACTATTATATGTAGCGGTGGCAATTGGGTGGGTTGGGTTTGGGTTGAGCTTCAACCCAACCCATCTAACCCGCCAACCCATTAATGGTTATATAAAATTAAATGGGTTGGGTTCAACCCAAACCCGCTTTAACCCAATCCAACCCACCCAAACCCATTAATCTTATATTTATGGACTTAAAAAACAAACTAACTCTCTCTTAACAAATAAGTTGGTCATAGCTTGGTGGTAATTGGAGTTACTATTTACACAAGTGGTGAAGGTTCAAATCACATTACATGCATGTTATTTTTACACAAGCGGCGAAGCCATTTGACTATGTCCGGATTTTGGGTTTGATCGAACCACTTAGGTTCAAACTGGTCAAACCAACTTGAATGATCTAATTGGATTATCTTCGAGTTAATCACATTAAGGGTGGTTGGGCCGTTTAGATCTGGATCAATCTGGTCGGACCGGACAGGTTCAGTCGATGGTGGATTGACTTGGACCGGACCATATCAGGCTTGTGCACGGGTTTGGGACCGAACCGACTGACCCGAAGCGGATCGACATAAGTAAATCGGGTCGGTCCATATTCGGGCCGGACGGTCCAGGCTAGTCAAAGCATGTGGACACCGAACAATCCCTCCCGAAACTGCTTTGGATTTGAGTCGACCCGGATCGGCTTGTATCGGGTCGGTCGGTCGGTCTGTGTGAATACTGGTTGGACAAGACAACCCAAACCGGGCAGAGCAAGCGGTACCCAACCATCCCACCCGGGCTCTATTCCGGATTCGGGTCAACCCAGATCGGTATATGTTGTGTCGGGTCAGACTGCATTGAACTGGTCCAAACTCGGGTCAAATTGATTTGGATTTATGTTGGGCGAAGTGTGTTGATTCAAGACAAAACTAAATTTAGTCAATAATTAATAGAAAATTAATGCATTAATTATAAATTATTTAGTTCAAATGAAGAAAATTAAAAAAAGGCTAAGGATTAATACTTATGTCTGTAATGGTTAACCTAATGGTTATCCACAACCCAACCCAACCCAACCCATTTAAATGGGCGGGTTGGGTGAAAAATTGCCACCCTAATTATATGCTTTTGCTATTTAGTTAATGTTATTGGGCCCAAGGCCCATGATTTTAACGTTTGTTAAGGTTATGTTTAAGTGTGTCAACAGTAATCGCCCTATTGAGGACATATTTGACATTGTATATTTTTTACCCTTTAAGTATAAAGGAAAATGGGAGAGGCGGCCGGATCATTATTGGCTCTCTTCCCTCTTCTCTCAAACTCTACTTCTTGTTCTCCTTTCAAGAGACCTTCCTCTTTTCTTTTATTTTTTAACTCTTATTGTTTCTTTTAATTTATAGTGTTGGCATTTTACATTATGTTATTTTCTTTCTCTATTGCAAAGTTGTAATTTGCTTATTATTATTGATTGAATAAAACTGGGCAGCAGTTAGAGATCAAATTGACTCTTCAATCTCTATTGTTTCATCCCTAGTTCTCCTATCTCTCTCCCAATTCCTTCTCTTCAACTTCAAGGCTGAGATTTCTAAGACTGATTTCTTCTTCTTTTTCCTCTTATTATTCTATTTTATTCGATCTGAATAGGATCAAGTGAAAACTTCATTTGGGAGGTTTCTAAATAACCCTAGTTATCAACAAAACAGATGTAAGTAGTAAAAAATGTGATTGATGAAACACATCATTGTGAGAACATTACCTAATGGAATTACATCACAGGAATTATCTCCTTTTGGTAGGAAGCCATAAAAGGTAATTAGATGAGAACTTGAAAAGTTTCCATAGCTAAGATAGCATTGTTCTCCTTCTCTGCAAGGTAGCAATAAAGGAAATTTCAGGAAATTTGTTACTGAATCCACTTTTCCATAGTGCATTATGTGTGGGCATAGCTGCAAAGAAAAGAGGAAAGCTTTGAGGTCAGGGTTCAGAATACCAGTGAAGACTTTACTACATTAAGTGCAATCTTTTCTTCATATTTGGAAAGGAAAAATCATTATTTTACTTCTTGTTTGTACATTAGGCCTGGTTTGTTTGCAATGCAATTTCATTTGCACTAGTGTAAGTTTCTGTTTCGACTTTTACCTTATAGTGTTTGTTTGTAGCGCAGATGAAGTGAAACAAAACCTTAAGCACAGATATACAGTAAAGAAAAAGTGGAAAATAATTTGCATTCTTCACATTTGCATTATCATGCATTTGTACTAGTGTAAATGAAATTTTACTGCAAACAAACAAAACCTTGAGTACAACCTTTATAGGAATAAATATAGGATATTTACCGATCACCCAGTAGTTTGGATATGGATATGGCATTAAAGAGAATAGAATGGCAGAACAGGATTCATGTAGCCGAGCCCATATAGTTGGGATAAGTCTTGGTTGATGATGATGATGACCCAGTAGTTTGGATGGTCAGTCAACATCCCAATAAGAGAGGAGATGCAGGATCGAACCTGCGCATTGGCAGGCTCTCTGTGGTAAGGTCAGTGAACTTCACATGCATCCTGCTCTGTCTCCACCCCATGATCCCCCTGTAATGTGTGTTATATAATAAAAAAAGGGCATTTATGTCAAACTCATAATTGAAAATGTAATGATGCAACATCTGACCGTGCATCACAAGGTCTATTACACAAGACAAACCCTGCAAGTTTCCCAGATTTTTTCTTTAGGAACCATGCAGCTCAACTCAATGCTGTTCTCACTAAGAAGATTTCTTCTTTCAATCCCATTTCAACCATCCATAAGGTGCACTGGTGCAGAAATAGAAATGATAAAAAAAGGAAATTGAGAACAAGGAGAGAAGTATATCTTACAGAATGATTAAGAAACCCTGCAATAGGTACTAAGCATGTCCTCAGCTTTCCATCAGCAAAAACAACCTTCATGCTATTAGAGTACCAGAGCTCACATGCCCACAAAAATTTGTCCCATGTGTATAGCTCAGGTTTAAATATATCAGGATGATTACAGCAAAGCATGGGAAACAATTCATCATATTGTGTGCGTAAGTGCTGTAACAAAATGGAAAAGATATTACATTCACATGGTCAATAGCACTCCCACCCAACTTTTTCATCTTTTTTTTTTTTTAATTATATAATGAGGCAAAATCCAAATTCCACCTTACTCAACAATATCTTGAAATGATAAGGATAAAGCAATAAATTGGACAACAATAATTTGAAACATAATCTTAAACCATAAAATTTTCTAGGAAGGATGAGAAGCTGAATGCTAGTAGTATAAAAGAAAACTTCATAACCTCTTTGGCTTGCATTATCTCCTCGAACAACAAGGTTCCTTCTAAAGCAGCAAGTGCATCAAGTCCAAAGCTCAACCCTGTTAAAAAACAGACCATTAAAAAAGAAAACTTTCAATATGTAACTACATTAGTGAAAATAATTAATAATCTTGGTACAGTACAACTAGTTAGCCTGAAATAGTGCATTCAAGTAAGTAAATAAATAAATGTAAAAACACAGCCGGAGCAATAGCAAATGGCCATAAAATGTCATCCAGTAAAGTAAAATGCTGATAACATGGTGAGATACTACGAGAAAAGAAGAATTGTGATGTTCAAATAACTAACAAGTGCTTAAAACGAACTCAAAATGTGGACATACACTGTAACAGCATCACTCTATAATAGAATAAATGTCTTGAAAAACTAACAAGAAGTGCATTTAACAAAATAATAGTTCTAAATAAACAACAATTGAAGATGGATCTATGAAAGATCAGCTGTAGCCGTTATGACCTCCTGGAACCACTCTATGCCAACAATTAGACTGCAATATAACTTTTACTGCACTCTGCCATGTAATAAAAGATTAAAAGTAATCCTTTCGTGGTGTCGAGATAGAGAGAGTTTATTATCTAACCAAGTACATTCTGCTACATCAAGAGGTCATGTCAGAATGTGTTCAGATGAGACATTATAGGATGGTAAGAAAGTTCAACCACCTGGTAGAGTAACTCTCTCTAATAAAATGTCAATCGATCTCAATAAGTTTGGCCCTTTCATGTTAGAAAGTATTATAATATTTATGGCAGCCTGATTATCACAATACAGCATCAGTGATTGCTCTGTCCATATCCCCAGTTCTCCAAGCAAAGATCCAACCTATAAAAGCTCCAATGCACCATGTGTCATGGCTCTATACTTGGCCTGAGTACTAGATCTGGCTAGAAATGATTGTTTCTTACTGCTTCTAAGGTAAATACCTCCAACAAGAGTGCAAAAACCAAATGTAGATCACCTATCATCCAAAGACCATAACGCAATTAGCATATGAAGGCATGTACCCTCATGTGATCATGCTTAGCAAACAAAAGGCCTCTACTTAGATGCTTCTTAAGATATAAATATTTTGACATATTACACTCCCTGCATATGAAATACCTAGATTGGTCATACACAAATATAGCAGCCTGCCAACAAGCCTCTAATAACCTCCAATATTAGCCGATAAATCTCCATCAGAACAATTTGTCCTCTGGTTTTGATCAATAGGTTTCTGTGTAGGTCAAACTCCCATCTTTCCTATCTCCACCAAGTCAGGAACATATTTGCATTGTGTTGGGAATGGTCGGTAGATGGGAAGATTTGTTTCTCTCTGTGTTTTGTTTTTGCTTATCCCTATTTAGTACTTATGTTGCTCCTCTTAGGTAGTGTGGGACACGAGCAATTAAGGCCATGCTTGGTTAACTACTTTGGGCCTCATTCTTTTAATTTTTGCTCATTCTAGACATGAATGGGCAAGAATGAATAACATTAGAGTGTTCGGTTACAAAATTCTTGCCATGGGCCACATTCTTTTAAGAAAGAAAAACCATCCCATAGCACAAAAATTGAGGTAGCCTGCATCATGAAAAATAATCATACCCCATCTTGCTCATTTTCATTCATTGAGGAAACTCTGACAACAAAACTGCTGCCATAGATGTTTATTAGCGGACTACCATGGAAACTCACCTCGACAGACATTGACTGCCGGCCATCCACCAGTAAACATCTATATCAACAGTTTTGGAGACCTAGGCTGGCGGTTTATGAATACTGGCAGTCTTTTTTTAAGAATGAAAATGAGCAAATAGGACAATTTTCAGTCTGAAAAGAATTCATATTTAGGAAAAAAAGTGTTTGGTTCATAGCAATATTTTTTCATTCTGCCTATTTTTATCAATTCTTGTCCATTTTAAAATTTTGTCTTGTATAAGAATGAGAATTGAACCAAACATGGCCTAAGACTTTTAATGTTGTGCTTTTTTTTGGTTAATAAATAAAAAAAAGGAAATTTTATTAAAAGAGAAAAACCACAAAATAAAAGGTGACATGATATTACCCACACAGAGGAGATAGAAGCTCAAAGCCCAAAATCCAAAACCCTCCAAGCCCTTACAACACAATAGTTTTTCCTGAGCTTAACCCTTAAAACATTAAAGAAACCCTTCCTTGTCAAACCCAAAACCCACAAAGGACCCAACTTCTCTCCCTACACCTTCCATTAACCATACCCAACTTTAACGAAAACCATCTACCATTCAGAGATCCACATTAGAAATTTCCACTCAAAGGAAACTTCTTCTCCAATTCCCAAAACATTTTCCCCACAAATTCCTCCCCTCTGATGAAAGATAACCCCAACAGTTTGCTTACTTGGACTTCAATTTCCACAATCTTTTCCAAATCCACACTTCTCTATTTTTCTCACTTGATCAACAATCACCTCCTCTTCTTCCTCTTTCCCTTCTGCATTCTCTTTCTCTATTTCATCCAATGCCCTTGGCAGCCCCTCCTCTCTTAACGAGACATCTTCTTCACGAGCAACCGAAGTTGAACCCTTCTTCAAACAATCTGGAACTTGATTTGAAGGAGCTCTTCCAACCTCCTTTCTGTTCAAGCTGGTCATGACTTCCATTCTCTTTCTTTTGTACATCCTCTTGAATTTACTACTTGGGCCTCCGCCAATGAGGCCATCTTTCAATTTGGAAAAGACCTTTGTTACATGAATCAACTGACCATTATTAGATACCTTCATTTTTTTTTTTTTTGGGGGGGGGGGATTTAGTGGGATTCTGATTTCAGTTCTATTACCTCTCACCATTCCCTCATCCTCTACTTCCAGAGGTCATTTACCTCCTCACAATTTCCACAAAACTCCTTCTCACCTACATCATCAGTTTTGAAAAACTGCCTCCAATTACTTACTGTTCTTATGCTATTCCCTTCTTCAACTTCTGCAGCTCCTCATGAACTATAGTAACAAGTGTCTTATCTGTTTCCATGCTTAATTCTTTTTCCCCAACATCTTTTTCTATTTTTCTGACTTTTAATAGCCTCATCTCCTTTATCTGACATCAATTCAGATATCTCTAGCTCACAAGAACTGGAAACAAACTTTGTTACCACCAACTCCCACTTGCCAAATCTGTTTTTCTCAAAAAATCCCTGCTGTAATGTTTCTTTTGTTAACCTAGAAAGAAAGAGAGAAACCAGGAAGAGCCAAAGACTGCTCGGTTGGTCTCAATCAGTCAATCCAACCCAGAAACAGTATTTTATATTAAAAGAATAAAAGGACAAAATCTTTACAAGAGAAGAAAAAATACAATGAGATACAATGTTGTATAGTGTACACACTACAGAAATAGCATATTGTTTGTTCTGTAGCTACAGTAGTTCGAACCAGGAGAAGAGAAGAAGAAGAAGAAGATGAAGAGAACAGTCGAACTTGATAGATTAATCCCTATCAGTCGACCCTTAATATGGATTAGCCTCTAATTAGTAGTACAAAGACTAAACTGCCCCCACTTAAGTATGGGACAGGAAGTCTATTAAGACTGCCACATAAGCACATAACTTAACAAAAATAAAATGACTAATCTACCCTTATTCGGCTAGCTCTAACACTCCCCCTCAAGCTGGAGAATATATGTCATATAATCTCAGCTTGTTACATATATAGTTCAGCCTTTTGTAAACAAATCTGCCCACTGATCACCTGAGCCCACATGTTCTGTGCTTATCTCTCCAGTAAGGACCTTCTCCCTCACAAAGTGGCAATCAATCTCTATGTGCTTTGTTCTCTCATGAAAAACAGGGTTGGATGAGATGTGGCATGCAGTTTGATTGTCACAGTACAATTTCATAGGTCTATCCATGGAGAACCCGATTTCTTGTAGGAGATTCCTCAGCCATACTAATTCGCATGTAGTGTGTGCCATGGCTCTGTATTCGGCTTCAGCACTGCTCCTTGCCACAACCGTCTGCTTCTTACTCTTCCATGTCACAAGCTTTCCTCCAAGAAATGTGCAGTAACCTGTAGTAGATCTTCTATCAGACACAGAGCCTACCCAATCTGCATTTGTATACCCAATTACTTCAAGTTTTCCTCCTGGTTTGTACAATAACCTACGGCCTAGAGCTCCTTTCAGGTACCTTACAATTCTAAGAACTGCATCCCAGTGAGGTATCCGAGGGTTCTGCATAAATTGGCTCACCACACTAACTGCAAGGGAGATGTCTGGTGTCGTGATAGCCAAATAGTTCAGCTTCCCCACTAGCCGTCTACACCTTCCAGGATCATCAAATATTTCCCCTGTATCACTGCTCAACTTAGCATTTGGTTCCATGGGAGTTTCATCCGATTTTGCACCTAACAGTCCTGTTTCATCCAGCAGATCAAGAACATATTTTCTTTGGCACAGGTTTACACCTTGTCTTGATSTARCAACTTCTATACMCAARAAATACTTYAATGTCCCAAGGTCTTTTGTTTGAAAATGATTTTGCAGAAAGACCTTTAGTTTAT